TCTTCAACATTCACTCTCCTTATCTATACTTGTTCATCATGCGCAATTATAGAAAATATAAGATATTATTTTAATATTTATCATTTCGTAACTTTTATCGTTTCTCTTTCAAAATCATAATATATATATTTATAATCTTAACTTTATATTATTAACTTCAGACATAAATGACTTTTAAACATTTGAAAAGATTATAAATATATTAATGAAATATTATTTTGAAAAATATTAAATTGAAAAATTTGAAAAAATATAATTTTATTTTTGAAAATATAATCTACAATATGTTAATTTTTATCATGAGAATAATTTATGAACTAATATTACATTATAATTTTTTCAAAATGTCAATTCTAAAATAAATTACAAAATCTGAATGAAAGATAAATTAAAAATAATATGCATAATATTTTTTTTTGATTTTTAAAAATTTTTGTTAATATAATTGCAAAATAAAGTTTATTTCTAATCTTTATTTAATAAAAATAGTTTTTTATAATTAAAAATATATATATAATAATATAAAATCACCATTCCAATCATCTATTTTATAATCATAAAATGATGTACTTAATATACAAGATATTCTGCAATAGAATGTTTATTTTGTTTCTTATTTGTAATTTTATATTGAAATTTAATTTTTAATCATTATTAACATAATCTAATTTTATTTTGAATAGAATCAATAACTTTGAATATGACACTAAAATGATAAGGAGTTCAAGTGTTTCCAAGAAAAAAAATGCATTGAATGTTAGATCTATTCATTAGCTTATTCATTTTCTTTAATAGAGAAGTTGTTTTTTAAATTTTTTTAAATTTTAAATCAAATTTATATGAAATATTGCATTACATTTGTCTTTTAATTTTTAATTAAAACATTTCAATCTTAAATGCTAGAATGAAATATTATTAATTATTGTCATTCAAAAATTGTGTTTTCATTAATAATAAATATTTTTATTATTATACAATTATATTTCTAATTATTATACTTGTATATTTTTTTATGTTATATTATATTTATCCATATTCTATATTTTAAAAAATATTTTTTGAAATTTATAATTAAAAAATATTTTTATATTTATTGTCTCTTTATATTCTTAATTAACTATTACTTATGTATTCTTATTATTATTATATACTATTATTATTATATATAAAATAATTTTGACTAATGATAAAATAATACTATCAAATATGTTACATATTTATATTGTTTAATTTCTATAAAGTTAATTGTAATTTTTTAATGCGTTTTAAAATAAATAAAAATTATTATATGAAATCGGAAATTTCATCTTAAAGATAAAAAAATAATATAATAATCACACATAAAGCCCGTATTTATTAATAAGGAAAATAATAATTATCCGCATAATTATCCTATTGAAAATATTAAGCATTATTATAGTAGCATTTTTTATTTTATTAGTAAGTATTATTAAACTCTTTACATATTTTTGTCGTTATAATGAATAACTGATAGAACTCTTAACTTATACATCCATTCATTCAAACACGCGTGATGGACCATTCCGTAATTATGTTACTCAGTACTCACAACTATGTCACATGATTCTTGACAACTTATAAGATTAATGCCATCATTCAACAGCTTACAAAATTTATTTTTTAACTTTTCTTCAAGTTAAACGAAATTCTAGAGGGAATAAGAGACTTTTTTGCAATCACTTTTCAATATAAAATTATGTTATCGTATTGTATGTTAATGATAAACATAAGTATATTAAATAATTATTTCTATTTGTAGTGCATCGAAACACGAAAGGAAATTATTTTTTCAAATATCTTGAGTACTTAAAAAAATCTTATTATAGAATTCTTATAATATTTAAAAATCTGAATTTTAATAATTCAGTTAAAGCAATTTTGTGTAACAATAAAATGTAGTATTAAATATTTTTTACATATATCTAATTTATTTTTTAATAGGGTTCTTCAATTTTTAATTTTATTGCAAATAATTTAGAAAGAAAATGAATTTTTTCTCTGAAAATTTTTTAATCAATCAAATGTTGTTATATAACCAAAAAATATATCATTTTTTGAATCTTAGCTGTACTTATTTACGTCCAAAATTACTTATACTGTAAAAACTTGTTAAATTTAGGATTCTCGTATAACAAACGAACAGCTTATAAAACATTTAGTTGCAGCTTTATTTTAGATATCATTATTATTTAGATATCTTACGATTTTTAAGCACTTTCCTCATTACACGTAGTCTTATCACATACAACTATGTATGACTAAATACATTCTGTAACTTATTACATCTATCCATACAAATTATTTTTTTTGTGATAAAAGTTTACAAGATATATCACAAATTGTCTGAAAATGCCGTTTTTTTTTTTCATTTGTTTGCAATACCGGTTGCAAATAAATACAGCTTACTAATAAAGAATGAAATCAAATGGCATTGATATTCTTTTTCCCATTTCCTCCTGAAATAATAGTGGCTTATCTTGAGACCCGAGTCGCATAGTATCAAATGTAATGGCTTCAGGGTTCCAAGTAGAGCTACTTCGATTCATTCATGTATGATACAAATCGTTGATGTTTTATTAAAATGCATAACGGTATATATATTCATTATATTCTTGCCATGATGCTCTTTTATTTTCCATTTATTTTGGAAAAATGCATCAGTGCTAAATATTTTCATAGTGATAATGCTATTCTTGACAAAATAAATTTTCAATATGTAATAAAAAATTCAAATTACGAATAGTAAAAAGTAATTCTTAATTTGCGAACGAAGTCAAATGTTTTTTATATCTTCTTTTGCGATATATTTTCACACAAACTTCTTTTTCCATTCATTTTTTTTTTTACGAAATTTATTAAGCAATCTACCTTCACAGTTCTATAGGTCATGTACCAGTGTTAGACACATATTAAATTGTGTTACCATGCATCATGATTATTTGTGATTTGTAAGACCAAGCACCTGTAGCATTTATTGAGGTGGAGGCAAGCTCGAACGATAAGAAAATTTGTCCTTTTTTTCTGAGAATATTTGCATTTTTATTAAATTAAAAGATTATTATTTACCAATTTTTGCTATCATGACAGTAACAGTTAGTTATTTTTTTTTAATTTAATAATTTAATTAAGAATTTTTTCTTGATGCAACATTATATAAGAAAAATATTTTATATTTAATTATTTAAGTCTGAGAAAACAAAAATGTAATCAATTTTAATTTTATACAATATTATCAATAGTTAATTTTTTTTTTTAAAAATGTTTTGTTGTGAATTTTGAATTATGAATTTGTTAATGTAGTAATCACAAAATAGTAATAGATATACAAATAAAATTTCATAAAAAAACATAAATATTAGAAACCTTTCTCCCAGACTATGTTATTTAAAATATATATATATATTTTAATATATATATATATATATATATGTATATATAAGCTATTTGCATTAATAAAATATTT